CCTCATTGTTCTAAGCTATTTCTTATCTATAAATAGGAGTGATAAGCACTCCCCATACCTTCAGTTGAAGATTCAATAAAACTGAAAAATGCATTGTACATTTTTCATCATCAATAAACAATATCATTGAAACTATTATATCCAAGTGAGGCATCTAGGTAATTTTTAGACTATGGTGGTATCCACTAGCTAGTTTATCTCGTTCCTGTGCCAGAGTAAGGATTGGTGCCTGGACTCCCTTGATCCGTCTGACCATTGTAGAATTTCCTCCAGTGCTGACTTTACGTCTGTTTTCCTATCTGTTTACCTCAGCTGTGTTTCTGTGGGTCCCAGGGACGTACGTTCTTCCTGAGCTACACTATGTTATCTACACATCGACAGTCTATGACTCGGGAAAGGAAACACGCTGCATGGCCGTGTTCCACGCACAGCCACCTCTCCTTCCATTGTGCTTTGCAGATACTGCATGATCACCGAAGGAAGGTTTGTGATGACCCGACATTGCTACTCACTTCAGGCATCTGATTAAGTGTCTGCCTCCAGCTCAGGTCATGATCCCAGGGTCCTGGTTTCGAGCCCCGCATCAGGCTCAGGCTCCTTGCTCATCAGGGAGTCTGCTTCTTCCCTCCTTCTGCTGCTCCCCCTGCTTGTGGTCTCCCTCCCTCCCTCCCTCTCTCTCAAATAAATAAATAAAAGCTTAAAAAAAAAAAGAAATTGCTCACTTCATGTCTCCAAGTCTCATTTTAACAATTCTGACAATATTTCAAAGCTTTTCGTTCAGGTTCTGTTTGTTAGGCGGTTCTGTGACCAGTGCTCTTGGCTGTTAGTACTGTTATTGGTTTGCGGCACGATGAACCATGCCCACGTGAGACAGTGAACTTCACTGACATGGGTGTGTTCTGACCACTCTACCGACCAGCCATCCTCCCGTCGCTCTCCCTCTCCTCCAGCCGCCCTGCTCCCTCAGGCACAGCAATATTAAAACCAGCCTACTAATAACTCTGCAATGAGCTCCAAGAGTGTGAGTGAAAGAGTCACATGTCTCTCACTTTGAATCAAAACCTAGAAATGATTATGCTTACTGAGGAAGACGTGAGGAAAGCCTTGATGGGCCAAAAGTGAGGCCTCTTGTGCTGAACATTTGGCCAAATAATGAATGCAAATGAAAATCCTTGAAGAAAATTAAAAACGCTACTCCAACGAGCATGCAAGTAATAATAATAAAGTGAAACAGCCTTATTATTGTTTTTACGGAAAAGGTTGAGTGATCTGGACAGAAGAGTAAAGCGGCCACAGTGTTCCCTTAAGCCAAAGCCTGATCCAGAACAAGGCCCGAATTCTCAGTTCTGTGAAGGCTGAGGCAGGCGGGGAAGCTGCAGAGGGAAAGTCTGAAGCCTGTGGAGCTTGGCTGGTGGGATTAAGGGAAGCAGCCATCGCCCTGACATGAAGGACCAGGTGAGGCCGCAGGTGCTCAAGGAGACGCGGCAGCAGGTCACCCAGGAGATCCAGCTCAGAGAACTCAGGAAGGCGGCCACACTCAACAACCAACTGCCAGTGTAGACCAAACAGCCTTCTGTCGGGAGACGACGCCATCTAGGACTTTCACAGCCAGAGACAAGTCAGTGCCCGGCTTCAGAGCTGCGAAGGACAGGCTGGCTCCCCTGTGAGGGGCTGACGCAGCTGGTGACCCTATGTGGAAGCCAGTGCCCACGTCCCATTCTGAAAATCCTAGGGCCCTTCAGCATCGCGCCCAGTCTACTCTGCCTGGGCCCTACAAATGGAACCACACGGCCTGGACGACGGTGCGTCTGTCTACAACACGGTTCACTGAATACGGTAAACCCACCGTTGGGGGCAAATGCTCAGAGAACAAGATTTCTTTCAAAACACTGCTGCTCGCTGACAATGCATCTGTCACCCAAGAGCTCTGATGGAGACGGACCGTGAGAGTAGCGTGGTTTTCATGCCGCTAATGCAGCGTCCATCCTGCAGCCCATGATCAAGGAGCCATTTCAACTTTCAAGTCTTCTTACTGAAGCAATGCATTTCGTAAGGTTACAGCTGCCGTAGATGGTGATTCCTCTCGTGGACTGGGCAAAGTAAAAACCTTCCAGAAACGATTCACCATTCTAGAGCCACTGAGAACATCTGTGGTTCATGGGAAGGGGTCAGAACATCAGCACAAAGAGGAGGTTGGAAGAAGGGAGTCCAACCCGATGGATGACTTTGAGGGTCCGAGACTTGGTGGAGGAGGGAACCACAGACGGGGCGGAAGGGGCCAGAGAATGTGCATCAGAAGAGGAGCCTGCAGACGGGACTGCACCGCTGTGCTCTCGGGGTCACACTCGAACAGACGAGGAGCTGCTTCTTGCGCAGGAGCACAGAAAGTGGGTTCTTGAGGTGGAATCCATTCCTGGTGAAGATGCTGGGAAGACTCTTGAAATGACGACCAAGGATTTAGAACATTCCATAAACGTAGCTGATAAACCAGCGGCAGGGTTTGAAGGTCTAACTCCAGTCTGAATGAAGTTCTACGGGGGGTAAAGGCTTTCAAACAGTATTTTATGCTACAGACAAACTGTGAAAGGAAGAGTCCATCAATGCAGCAAACTTCAATGTCCTTATTTTAAGAAATTGCCACAGCCATCCCAACTTAAGCATCCACACCCTGATCAGCCAGCAGCCACCAACACCGAGGCAAGACCCTCCACGAGCAAAAAGATGTCAAGTCACTGAAAGCTCAGGTGGTAGTTAGTGTTTTTGAGCAGGTAAGTTTTTTTTTTTTTAAGATTTTATTTATTTATTTTACAGACAGATCACAAGTAGCAGACAGGTGGGCAGAGGGGGCAGGGGGAAGCAGGCTCCCCACCTAGCAGAGAGCCGGATGCGGGGCCCCATCTCAGGACCCTGAGATCATGACCTGAGCCGAAGGCAGAGGCTTTAATCCACTGAGCCACCCAGGTGCCCCAGATAAGTATTTTTAAATTAAGGTATATGCTTTTTTTAGACAATGCTATTGTACATTAATAGACTATGGTACAGTGTAAACACAACTTCTATATGCACTGGGAAACCAAAACAATCATTAGGTCACTTTATTGTGATATTTGCTTTATCGTGGTGGTCTGGAACCAAATCCACAATATCTCCAAGGCAGGCCTATATTATGAATTAAACTTTCAAGTCCCAGTGGTAATTGTGAAAGCATATCTACTGACTTTTAAGCATCAGTACACTAAGTTTATTACCCATTCTACACTCACTGCTGCATAGAAAGACATGACGGTATCATATCTAATACTGTTTTAGTAGTTTTTCTTTAAGATTCTCTGCCTCTTCCAATTTCAATATTCCTTATATTCTGATCCAGGTTCTAGAATGCTAATTTTATACACTATTTTATATAGTATATATTTGCTCTTCATTTCCAGTTTAAATTCCTTCCAAACACTTCCTCTCCCAGAAGCTTCTTAGACATACTGCATCACACTAAAGCCACACTTTTGGGCACCCTGTCCCGGCCAACCATGCTGTATGTGCCCAACCTTTCTACCTCAAAGTCTGTAGTCAGAAGATCCCACAGAAAAGGTGAAGGCTTGTTTGGGATCAGACTCCAGCAGACCCCCTAATAGAACAGTTCCAGAAATTGGACGTGCCACTCAAAGTCCACAAGGCCACGATAACCCTCTTACTTAATGAGATTTTAGTCAGCAATACAGCCCTAATCAAATGTAAATTGTCATTGCTTTCCATCATCACAATCATAGCAGGAATGTAAAATTTTTAGATTACCTGCTTTCCTTCTATGGTGTTGATGTCACAGACAAGAACCGAGAAGACCTACCCCAGCTCAAGCTGCCTTGAAGAGGGTGGTATTCAATGAACAGACACCCCATAAGAATGTTTAGGGAGACAGACAATCTCTGAAGCATTAGCAACTCTGAACACAAAGCATCACACATAGTCCAAGGGGGTTCTGCAGTCCACAGAAAGCCACACTGACCACACCAACAAGAATATATGTGCATACACACAGAGGAATGCTAGCAGCTTCCATGGAGGGGTGACAGTGATTTCAAGAAAGCAGGTGCCATTTTTTGGATAACAGTGAGAAACTCCCTTTGCTGGTTTCCTCTGGAATTACTACTTTAGTTTCATTACCTCTGTTTTTTTTTTTTTCTCCCCAATTTTCCTGAGTATTTCTTCAAATCACCTCAAGTAAAAAGAACAGATCTTTACTATTCAAAATTTACTGGTCCTTGCTTTGGTCCTGAAGTGATTTCCAGCCCACAGAGAGTCAGAAGCTTAAACTTTCCAGCTTCTATAGCTTTTGAGTGATTACAAAATTACTGAGATCCCAGAAAGAAGTCGAAAGGGCGAAACGCAGTTAACATGTTTTACAAATTACTTGGAGACCTACAGGAGCATTATAAATTAGTATACTTGAAGCTGCCTATTCAACAATTTCCTTATGTTTATTCACAAAAGATTTTTCCAATGAATAAAATTTTCTACTCAATTTTTAAAAAACAAGCATGCATAAAATTTTCATCTTGGGGGAAAGGAAGAACCAGTTACTGTACACACGTTCCATTTGAAATAATTCATTGTACTTACGTTGACTGATCTTACTTTCACTTACTGACATCATTTTAAAAGTTTTAAAAGATAGAGTGCTTCGTATTTCTGAGTATCGTGTTTGTGTGTCCTAAAATCCTGGCGACATTAAGGGCAGTGATGCCCTCAGCACTTTGTAAAATAGTGTTTAAGGCACTTAAGGCAATATGTGACCTTCATTTATTGGTTGGATTAAAAAAAAAAAAATCCCTTTAGCTCCTTACAGAGGAAGTCCCGGGGTGAAGTGGAGTGTTAACACCAAAGGGAGGATTTAGTAGCTCAGTGGGAACATTTACAGCAAGAAGTATCATGCTTTGCCCAACTGTACTGAATTTTTAAGGCCTATGTGAATGAAAGACGTGCCAGAGGATAGATGAATTTACCCAGACATCGCGTTTCTGTGCCACTCCAGAGTCCGTTGGCTAAGCACTCTCTGACATGAGACCCCACAAGGGTGTAGCCCGTGTTGCACGTAAATATGGCTGTGGCCCCGTAGACCGTCAGTGTGCCAATCTTGTTACCGTTTGGGGGGAAGGAGAGGCTTCCACAGGAGATCACTGGAAGGAAAACAAAAAGTGAAAATTGTTTCAAGTCCACAGATTATTCTTTTGCTTAAAAATGACAAAATCAGGGGCGTGTGGGTGGTTCAGTCATTAAGCTGCTCCCTTCGGCTCCAGTCATGGTCCCAGGGTCCTGGGATCCAGCCCCGCATCGGGCTCTGCCCAGCAGGAAGCCTGCTTCTCCCTCTCCCACTCCCCTTCCTTCTGTTCCCTCTCTCGCTGTGTCTCTCTCTGTCAAATAAATACATAAAACCTTATAAATAAATAAATAAGACTGAATCTTTGGTAAAAATATTTATTAGGGACAGGGATATCTGCTTAGGGATGGTAGGTCAACCACATAGAAAGCTTAATTTTCCTTCTTACACCCTTGCAATGAAAATGTGAGCATTTAGAGTGGATTATAAAACTGTGTGGTGTATAGACATCATTTCACAAGGAGGCTGGTCAGACGTGTGGGTTGCCCACCCTCCCTCCTGTGTGCCCCAGGCGGGAGAACCGCCCAACAGTCACTGGACATGGGTGTGCAGGAATGAAGGAAAGAGAGTGGGCTTCCGCGGGCCAGCTAGCTGCTGCACAAAACTGAGTTTGCTTGCTCCAGTGGAAGGCCTCAGTTCACCGTTTCTTTCATTGACTCGCGTGATTCACCGGGATGGAGAGCTCCATAAAAATACGGACTGTGGGGACGCCTGGGTGGCTCAGTGGGCTAAAGCCTCTGCCTTCTGATAGGCTCATGATCCTGGGGTCTTGGGATCGAGCCCTGCATTAGGCTCTCTGTTCAGCGGGGAACCTGCTTCCTCCTCTCTCTGCCTGCCTCTCTGCCTACTTGTGATCTCTGTCTGTCAAATAAATAAAATCTTTAAAAAAATACTGACTTTGTGGCCATGTGGAGTCTCTCTTTATTTATTTCTTCCTTTTTTAAAAAATGATTTTATTTATTTATTTGACAGAGAGAGAAAGAGAGAGAGACCACAAGAGGGGGGATGGTCAGGGGGAGAAACTGGGTCCCTGCTGAGCAGGGAGCCCAATGTGGGACTCGATCCCAGAACTTTGGGATCATGACCTGACTGAGCCACCCAGGTGCCCCTGAGCCTTCCTGAAAATTAAAAAATACAAAATCCAGGCCTCCCGGAGTTGTAGCTGGGGGACCATGAGCCCTTCCCAGCAGGATCATTAACGGGGTCTACTTTCAAGCACAGGGTGATTGGGGGTGGGGAGGTACAGTCAATGGTCACCTTCATTGTTGATCCTCAAGGCACCACCCAACTCCCTGCACTCGGAACCTTGAAACGTTTGAGCACAAAAGGTCAGTGGAATCTCAGGGAAAGAAGAAACCACAAGGTCATCAAGGCCAACGGTTCTTCAGGGGCTTACGTGTGTCCCACACACCAAGAACCAAGGCATTGAAGGCCACTCTCAGAGGAGCACGGAGAGCTCCCACGGCACTCAGTGAGTCACCGTGCACAAGGGACTCAGAGCAATGGTGGCGTGTGGCCAACAATTCCTGAGTCCCTGTGAACAGCACAGATCAGAGAAGGTAAGATGGTGATTAAGAACAGATTCTGCTTTCAGGCTACTCAGGTTCAACGCCAGCTTTGCCAGGATCTCCTCCAATTCTGGGCTCTCATCAGCTTTTCTCCCCAGGGCTGACAGCAGCCCCTGCTGCCCAGAACCGGGCACCGGATTTGAAGAGAGGACACCGGCAAACAGCAAAGCAACGCCGTGCGTGGGACCAGGGCTCGGTCAGGGTTAGCCAGGGCAATGCAGACCTGGGACCCATCCTGTGAGCTGCATCAGTGGACCCCTTTACTGACTGTTCAAGTGAAGACGAGTTTGCGGGTGTGGCCTTCAGACCCATCTCCTGCACGGGGGCCGACCTCACTCTGAGGCGTCATAACCATACTTCCACTTCACACAGACACAGGCTGGTGGTGTGTGTTCCAGGGGGATTGCTCATCGGGATTTCCGACTGTTCAGCTCCAGAGTAGGTCATGATCAGAACGTTGCTGATTTACTGGTTTCTGGGGTCCCTGAACTCTTACAGGGTTACGTCTTATGCATTTAGTAACGTTGTTAACATGTGTGCTGTACCAGATGTTAATGAATTCCTATATAATTTATTCTTTTACATTTATTATGAACTTTTCATTAAGCCTTTCCCAAACATGCTATGAACTTCACCTTGAATTATGGTATTTAAAGATCCACGTGCAGTCACTTAGTATAACTGGACGGTATTTAGAAACTTCTGCAAGGGTCAGGAAAGTGTTGACTGGCAATGAGGTCTGAGCGCATGCCCTCAGAGGTCTCCACGCGCCTTCTGCGGATGCCTAGCAGCAAGGCTCACTCTGCCCTGCTTCTGCACCATTCTTTCTGCCTCTGTTAAAAATATCCTGGAACGCACATATTTTAGGTCTGTCCTCCACTAAGGTTCACTAGACTGTAAAGAAGAACTAATGGAGCAAACTTGTAGCTTTTCAGCAGCTGGATAATGGGGCTTCAGATGGCGCAGTTTCCGCTGGCAGCAAACCCGATACATTAATGAGGACGGCAGCACTAATTTGGAAAAGCTACCCTAATTGAACCGGAGAACTCCCTAACACACCCACCCACACACACACACACACACACACACGCACACGTTTGTCATACACCCAAGGTAATGCCTCATTTCCATGTTCTTTTCTCCCCACCAGTTTTCAAAATGAATAGTTTGCCTTTTTCCTTTCCATTAAAGACGTATTCACGCACACAGTCTAAAGCCCGTCCTCTGAGCTGTCAGAGTACGAATCGCACACAGAGGGAGTCCCACTGGAAAGCCCCGCCTGCCCCCCACTCTGCCCCGATATGCTGTCCATGCAGTGTTCCCTCACTTTCTCAGGAATGACAAGCCACCTGTCTCCGCTTCTCCCACCCAGGGAAACCTCCTTCCCCTTGACTTCAGTTCCAAGAGTACCTTCATATCGAAATCCCCAACTCTGAAAAAAAAAATCATATTGTGACACAAGGTTTTTCATGCCTGCAAGGCCAGCAGTCCTATCAGAAATATGGATATTATTAGCGAGTGGGGCAAAAAGCATAAGGTCAAGAGAAGGGACTTTCAACTACCTTCTCTCTGGAAAAGGCCTACACGCAGATGGACAGCAGACACAGGAGGTGGCGTGCATATGAATGGGGGGCTGCTTATCATGCAGAAAGGTCAAAGGATACGTGATCCTTTGTAAGTGTGTGAAGGCAGGCTGTGTAGACCACAGTCTGCGTTCACTGTATTAGGCCTGGAGAGAGGAAGCCAAGAAGCCTGGCTATGAGTCAACAAGAAGGCCTTGCTCGGAGTGAAAATATTCACACATGCCATCACCTGGTCCTGGGCTCGAGCGTGCCCCAAGAGTTATTTAATGTCAATCAGACAAGTACTTGTGAGTCCATTATGAGAAAATTCAACTTTAGGTTGCTCTGAATGGTCAACGTCCGCTCCAACATGGAAGGGAGGGAGAAGGTTCTTTCTGTAGTTTCCTAGGACAGATGGAACAGGCTGATGGACACATACTCCCTTGTGCTTGCTGTATGCGTGAATCCACTGGTAATGGAGGGGAAAAAGGCCAATAAAGAATTTATTTTAGAAACTTAATGATCACCCAGGTGCACCCCCAGTTACAAATGGGAGGTTACCAAAGACCCAACCGCCTACATCCTCATTTGATCCGGGTCTAATTTAACTCTTTAAATTAGCAGTTAGGAAGGAGCCACAGTCCAGAGTTCAGGCTGTGTTTTCTGAATATCTACAATATAATGAACTCCCAGTGTAAGGCTCTTTGTCTGTGAGTTGTGTGTAAAATTAAAAATGCAAAGATGGTTTCTTCTTGTTTCACAGATTTCTGTGATAAATATTTTTCTTTCTTTTCTTGGATTTTTTTTAAAGCAATAAGTCAAACAGAGAAATGCAACAAGAAGAAGTCAATAACCTCCCGCTTTGATGTGGTCCTTGTGTTAGGGAGATACACGGTAATTCTGGAGAAGGAACTTTAATCTGGTAATCTTGTCTCTTTAGGGGTAACCACTGGAAGTTGGTTCTCCTGAGACAGTGACTGCAAAGCTCACAGTTTCAAGGTGGGACTAGGTCTCCTGCTCTCTTCACCTGGGTTCGGTGTCAGGTAGCCTGGAGTTACAATAACACATCCCCTTCAAAAAGTGGTGACTAAATACTGCTTTCATACTTATTATGGATATTCTTAGAAGGCAGCCAAGGATTCCTTCATCTGGAGCTAATTGGGCAAGCAGAAGAGGACATCTCCAAGCCATTAAGCAAGGGGGTAACTGAAATAGTTAGGTCCAGGTGATCGCGTGGACAGCAACATTCTAAGAGGGACCACAGGCTAACAACATCACACATAAATACAATGTTAGCTCCTCAGTTACAGCAGAGATTGGAAAAACGACACACTTGAAAATTCTCTTGGTCTAGTTCCATTAGAATGTAGAGAGTGACTTGGTATTTCTTTTGTGACCAAGCTACTATAGAATGGCAAATCGGCCTTACAAATGTGTCATTTTAAATTAATTTTAAGTCAGAACTTAAGTAGCATTTGAACTTCTTGGGGCTTGTCAAGTACTTACTTAATTACAAAGTATTCTACTTCCAGGATTCATATCAGGTTTTTCTGAGTGTACATTGGCAAGGCAGGGAAATAGGAGATAAATGTAACTTATATGTATTTTAAATATAAAATAAAATTAAAATGTATTATGCCAAGAATGAACTAAAACATACCTTTACTTTTATTTTTTTATAGAACCCAGAAAATATTGCCTACATGTTAAGACTCTAAATTTTTTTCCTTTATTTTGGATAATAATTAGTCATTACTATTTGTAGAAATATGGTACATGGTAAGGTGTAATTATATCATTGTTATTTTAAACAAATGAACAATGATGTTTTCCATTTAAATTTGAATGAATTAATATAAACACATTAAAATAATTCTTGATTTGAATTTATGTTAAAAATTTTACAAAGGTCTTTGGGGTCTAATGGGAAGCACAGTTCAAAGATGGTACCCTGAGATTTCTGCCCCCTGGTATAAAATCCTCTCCCCTTGATGTAGGCAGAACCATGATGAGGTTATAAGTTTTCTTTGAGCTAATCAACATGGGATTATCTGTGGGGACTCACCCAGTGAAGGAGCCCTGAAAGGAACGGAGTCCTTCCTGGAGCCAGAGATTTGAATCACAGGAGGGCCTGGAGAGACGGGCAGTGCATTGGACAGAGCTACACATGGCCCCCTGGAGCTGAGGGCATTTCCTAGTCCACAATCAGCAACAGCGTGAGGACTCAGCTGTAAATTGCATGGACATGAATTCTATCAACAAACAAGTATGGCCCATCTTCCCCCAGTTCTGTCTCCAAATAAGGACACAGCCAACACCTTGATCTCAACCTTTAGCAGAAGACCCAGAAACTGTGACATAACAAATCTGTGTTGTTTTACATTGTGTTTGTAATGATTCCATGGCAACAGAGAATGAAGATAGGCCCTCAACAACGTTTAACATTATGAGGTGCTTGGGATGAAGGCTCTTGAGAACCACTACTGTCCAAGAGGCTGGGGTATATATTCCATAGAGACCTATAGAATGACGTTGTTGATGGAGTTTCTAGGCTTGTGTTCTCTGGAATCACTTCCAAAATATTTCAACCAAAGAGAGAACTGGGGAGGGGGAGGGAAAACTACTGAGATTTCAGATCACACCATAATTTGAACACAATGTTGGGCATTGTGATATCTCACTGATACATCAATGTTTTGGAAAAGAGAAGAACATCTTTGATCACCTCTTTGGGTAGTGTAAAACTTTAAAAAAAATCAGTATAGATAGAAATTAATTTAAAATATTCATATCAAGTATTTTTGGTGGGAAGAAAACAAAAAAAATTCAGTTTGGTCACAAAAATGATGATAGGCTTGGTGTCAACTTTCCCTACACACCGATAACATGAACAACATGATGCATACCCTTGGGCACACAGGTGGGTCTCTAACACCATTTTCCACCAAAAGGGCTCCTTGGAGAATGGTTGATTCCATGCTTAGGCAAGGAAAAAAAATCAGGATGAGCATGAAACATCCTGTCTTTATGCGAGAACGGGGACAACTTCAAAGATATCAGAGGGACAAGATGGAGTCAAGTAGAAGGGACTCAATATGGCCACGCTGTGATGATGTGATCTACCAACCTTGATAAAAAATAAATAAAATAAATAAATAAAAGAAAAACACACACAAATAGCAAGCAATGACTTCATGGACCCCACTGACTCTGGACAAGGTCACATGATCACGATGACACTGAAGAGAGACAAGTCACAATGTACAGTATAACAAGTCATGACAAGCAAGGTCAGTCAATGAACAGCTGACGATGTGTGAAATCCATCTGCATGCTGAGTCAGTGGGAGATGTCCCCACATACATGGATTTCTGGCTGCTGGTCCTGGACCAAACTCAGTGTTAGAATCACCAGATTGAAGTCTATTAGAGTCAGGAGGACAGATTTCCTAGAATTTCAGAAGGATGGAGACAAAAATACAATTTGTGGATGGTAGAACCCCAGGGCTGCTTTCTTCCCCCCAAAAGGAGGTGGAAACTTGCTGCTAAGGAGTTTGGTTCAACAATCAGGAAGGCCTGGTTTTGTAAACACTGTTCTAAACATGAGTCTCCTTCAGTGTCAGTTCTCCCAGAATGGAGATCTGAGCCTTTAATGTAAAGTGTAGGGCGTAGCAAATACCTCGCAGACCCCACCCTACCCCAGTGCCCCAGACAGCTAGAGAGACCAGGCAAAACTACAGTGACTGTTGCATTGGCAGAAGCCCGGCATGTGCTCCCCACTCCCATGAAGTTCACAGGTGTCTATTTTTAACACTGATTCTGGTTTAAAACTGACAGAAAGGGTGTTGGCTAGCAAAGTCTGAGATAGGCAAAAGGTAGAGGCTCCGAAATCTCTCTCCTCCATTCTTCTTGCTGACCTTAAGGACTGAGTCTCTGAATCACAATCCTGAGCTTTGAGGGGGGCTAGGGGTGTGGATGTGGAAAGGAGGGGATCCGCTAACTCAGATGGGGGGAGACCCAGAGGAAATGCATTATGAGCCCAGTGAGCAGATAATGAGTCAAACCAGGACCCTTGTGAGAATGACAAGGGAACCATGAATAATATACGTGGAAAACAGGCTTCTGGCAGGGCTGTCTGGGCACCTGGGGTACTGTCCACTTTGACTCTGAGTGAGCTTCTGAAGTTCACTAGCCCTCCCTAATTTACCTTCATGTTCTTGGTGAAGCGCTTAATATGTGTTTAATTGCCATTGGTTCTATTAAAGTTGAATTAGAATGGCCATGTCAAAGACAGCAAAGCATTAATTCTTGGTCCTTTTTGTTTTTATGCTGGTTTATTCTTGCAAAGCCGTGTGTTTTATACATTTGACACTGGGCTAACTATTTGGTTTGTGCATGGTAATTCCCTGTGAACAACTTGCTAACAACTCTGTGTTAAACATATCAGAATCAAATAGTCCTCTGAACAACACTAATATTGTCTTATTTTTCTATGTATTCATTTTTATTATGAAACCCACTCAAAAGCTTAACCGCTTATCTTGTACCTTTGAGAATAATAATTGCCCTTTTCAAGACAGTCATTATTTAAGCATACAATATCTTCAGCATAAATACTATTTCCCACGATCTTAATTAGGTTTGAATAGTCAGTGCATGGAATAAGAGATATCTTCCTAAACATAGGCCTGGATTTGTTTTTGAGCTGATTTGAAGTATTTGAATATTCTATTATTTTACATATATAAAGTGCGATCATTAATAAGAAAAAGACAACATTCAACATTTAATCCAGCAGTCATATGTTTTAAGCATGTCACAAGAAAATCCATATTCATCACTATAATGACAAGAAATACCATTTGGTTGTATTATTAATCTATAGACTCGATCACTTACAGGGGTGGGTTAAAGTGGCTGCCAGTGACGTCAATCGTTCAGAATGGCTGCGCCATCCGGGAAGGGCATCCGTCACTCACCTCGACATCTGGGCCTCTCTTCGCCGATGCTCCACGTTCCGTTCGCCTGGCACTGCACCAGCCTCTGGCTCTCCAGGAAATACCCAGGGCTGCAGCTGAGCACAACCTGAGCTCCGTACTCATTCAGGGATCCCGAAACCAGTCTCCAGGTGACGTGATCCGAGAGCTGAGCCTCAATGCTGGGACAAGTTACCGCTAGAAGAGAAACATAACAACACCATTTTTTTCTCAAAGGATCAGATCCTGTTTGTTTTTAATGTTAAGGCCCTTCTATATGAAACTGATCTTTCTGTGCAAAACAGAAGCCATTATCTACAGTTCCAGGTACTTTTCTCTACCACCCACATAGTCACAGGGGGATGATCGTGCATATAAAATGCACTTGACAGCCTCCACTGCAGGGCCATGGGTGACCTTGCAGTGACATTGTGATGTAAAGGGGAAAAATCACCCACACAACGTTGCATAGCTCATTTGGATGGAAAATCTTCATCAGGTAAATGAGCACATGCATAAAAAAATCTTGCATATAATTTGTCTCCATTTCCTCTGAGGAACTTGGAATAGAATTGAGTAATTGAAAACCAGCTTGGACACAAGTTACCAGAAAAGCAGATGTCCTCATTCCCTTCCTCCTTATGAAACACACCTATATTTTACACATATATACACCTATATTTTATACACCTATACACACCTATATCTTACATATATATTTTTACATATATATACACATATATATGTGTGTGTGTGTGTGTGTGTGTGCGTATATTCTGTAAGTTATTGGATTTATATGCACACTGCATTCATACTGGGCAGACAAATGTTCAATATATCTCAAAGAAGACAATCTTTTCCTGCTCTTAGGAGAAGGCCTAGAATTACAGTAACTACTTAATAAAGAGCAGTTGCTACAAATATGACAACAGTGATGATATCAGGAAGGGTGGTAGGCTTCCCATTCTGGAGTGGGCTTCAAGGGATCTGCAAAGATGCTGAAAATACATGCAAAAGTTAATGTATGTGAGTATATATATTTTCTGAAAGGTACAATAATATTTCAAATGAATTTTACAAAGTTGGGACTCCACTTCCTCAAATATGAATACGCAGCACAGTAAATCACCTTCAGAATTGACCCCACAGATTAATTTGTTGAGCCTGGGTGAGGCAGCTAGAAAAACCATAGCTTTTTCAGAATGATATTAATAAATAATTTTACTTATTTAAAAATAAATTAAATTGAAAAGTAAATTCTGTACAAGTTTAATATAATTTAATTAGGCATATTCAAATGTTACAAAAATCTCATCAAATCTTCTATCAGTAATTTAGCAATACTATGTGCAAATAAACTGAAAAAAAGGACTTTTTGATATTATTATGATAATGTTTCAATGAGGTTTAAAAAGTGAAAAGGACTTGCTAATTAAAAAGTAACCCTAGATCTATTTTTCTTAAACATTTTTAAATAAAATGATTATCTAAATTTTATATGCATTCAAAATGGCTATTCAAAAGTCCTACATGTGAGACTTGGAACCATAAAAATCCTAGAAGAAAAGACAGGCAATAATTTTTTGACATCGGCTGTGGAAACATTTTCCTAGATATGTCTCCTTCGGCAGGAGAAGCAAAAGCAAAATTAAACTATTGGGACTGCACCAAAATAAAAAAGTTCTGCACAGCAGAGGAAACCATCCATAAGATAGAAAGACAATCTCCTGAACGCAAGAATATATTTGCAAATGATACACCTAATAAGGCCATAATATCTAAACCATATAAAGCACTTATATGACTAAACACCAAATAACCCAATTAAAAAATGGGCAAATGACCTGAATAGACACTTTTCCAATGAAAATTATAGAGGGCCGACAGACACATGAAAAGAGGCTCAACATCACTTGCTAGCAGGGAAGTACAACTCGAAACCACAATGAGACACCATGTTACACTTGCCAGAATGGAAAACTCATGAAACACCAAATGTCGGTCAGGCGGTCAAAGAAAGGGACCTCACACGCCGTTGATGGGAATGCAGACAGCAGCCTCTGTGATAGACAACATGGAGTTTCCTCAAAAAATTAATAGAATTACCATTTGCTCCAGTAATTCCACTACTGGCTATTAACCCAAAGAAAACAAAAACACTAATTTGAAAAGATGCAGGCTCCCTTACGTCTGTTGCAGAATTATTTACTACAGCCAAGAATCTGGAAGCAGCTGAAGTATCCACAGAAAGATGAATGAACAAAGATGCGGGGTACGTACACACACACACACACACACACACAAGAATATTACTGAGCCATAAAAAAGAATAAAACATTGCCATTTGCAATGACATGGGAGGAGCTAGAGAGTATGATGCTAAGTGAAATGAGTCAGTCAGAGAAAGACAGATGCCATCGGATTTCATGCATACGTGGGATTTAAGAAACAAAACAAATGAACAGCAAGAACAACAAGAGACAGACTCTTACACATAGAAGCAAAGCGGGTGGTTGTCAGAGGGCAGGTGGGTGGGAGAATGGGGGGATGGGTTGAGGGGATTAAGAGCACATTTACTGTGATAAGCACTGAGTAGGGTACAGAGCTGTGGAATCACTGTATTGTACACCTGAAACTAATATAACACTGTATGTTCCTTGTAACTGAATAAGAAAACAACAGAACTTGCATGGATATTCAAGCATTTTACCTAAGGATACAAGTAAAAGTTTTCTCTAACTGGGATACCTTTAGAATTCCAGGCAAGATGACGATTTCTGACAAGTCTCCGGTGCCTTTAACCTTGTAAATCCGTAACTCAGCTTCAATCCCACTACCGTTTCAAATAAAATTCATTTCATTTCAACAAGAAGGGTGATTCTAAAACGAACCTGACCACTTTCAGTTGCTTGGACTAACTTTTCCAAGCTCTACTTCTCCCAGGAAGGATGCGATGCGGGCGTGCCCAGGGGAACTGGTCATTTTCTTGGAGCTAATACTACCTACAGTGGTGATCTCCACATTCTGGATGATTACCTCTCCCTTTGTGAAAATGCTATTTGCTTTGCTTTGTAATTATCCGACTCTGGTTTAATTGTTTGCTTGGATCTTTTCCTCCCTGGTAGGCCATAAGCTCTTTCACTGTAAACACTATGTCTTGTCCCCTTTTTTCTTGAGCGTTCTCCCTGCCCTTAAACAGGTGCTGGTGACATATTTATACGCGTGTGCGTGCATGTGCAACTGCTTTGGAAAATAACGTACTAAGAAGATGTAGCAGAAAAACAAAAACCAAAAAACAACAAACAAACAAAACCCCCCAAAAGTGGAGGTGAGAAGTGGAGCAAGGGGTGGGGGGTGGGAAGCTGAGGACAGAAAGAAGGGAGACTTGAATAGATATTTAATGTGGAAGTTCACCCGTCCTTCTGTTCTCCAAAGAGGGGGCAGGGGAAGGTTCTTGGAAACTGTCGCCATTGTGATTCTGTTTAATGTTTTCCAAGATGCTCTGAGGGAGCAAGAGTAGCCTGCCTGTGTGTGAGTGTGAGCGAGCGAGGACACGGTCTGGGGGCTGCAATCCCAAGGCAGGTAAACCACGTTGGTGGGAGACAACAGTTTCCTCCAGGCAGGGGGAAAGGGACCGCTGGACAGTCTGTTCTAAGTGCATGTCGACATCCGCGTGCAACCACACCCGCTGCCCCAGGCACCAGGGAGCCCTGAGCAGGTGCGGCCAGTAAAGGGTGGGGGAGGGGTGCCACAGGAGGCTGTGCCCATGGGGGCCGCGGCCTGCTGGCAGGGCAAACAGCAATCCTGTGCCTGAATTCGGGGCCTTGTGCAAGGAAACGGGATGCTATGCAGGCCCCAAATACCGCTTCCATTCTCCCCTTGGTGTTTCTGTGAATTGAGCAGCCCCAGTCGCCCAGGTCCGAAACCTGACTCTGGTTTCCTCGGTTCTTCTCCCCAAACCTCCCTGGAAGGGACAGATCTGCTGACCCTTCCGCATGCCACCCTGTCTCCTGCCAAAGCTCATCCCCCGCCTCACACCTGTCCACAAGCAAGCTCTTACTTTTGGTGTAAAACTCTACCTGTGTGCCTTTCAAGGAATTAAAAAATATGTATGTATTTCACTTTCCACTTTTTCATTGAAGACCTAAAAGTTGTCCTTGTAAGTTTAAATAATTGACAGCATATGACAAGCGAATTATGGTAACTACTTATACCTCAAGTAAAACAAAACAAAACAAAACAAAAACACTTTTCCTCAGATCCAAGACAATAAAAAAACCAGCAATTTGACACTTCCAAATATTCATTTTTATAGAATACATGTCTACTCCCAAATTTATTTCATTCTGTATTCCCTTGAACTGTCCTATTCCATAATCCCCACAGAAACACATTCTAATGTGATTTAGGTTTGAGACCTTTATAACTAGTCCCGTTACATTCAACAACAGCAAAGCTCTGTTGTCATTCTATTAATAATATATAATTGATTACATTAAAGATATAATAATTTTTATGATTATTTTAAAAGAAGAAAGTGGCATTTCGTTGACAGTATGCTCCGCTATTCATTTTGACATTTATGACAAATTACTGAGCGTTGTTGACTTATGCATTACTGATCTTTAGAAAGAGACAAACTTTACTTTCAATTTTATTGCTAATTTTTACTTTTTACAAGTGTTTTTGTTATAACTATTTTATTCCTGTTAAGAAAACTAGGCATAAATCGGAAGGTAAAGGAAATAGTTTCTCAGCGCTTTCTCTCTCAATGCTTCACCCTCCTCTCTGGCTGTAACACCAGATACCAGCATTACCAGAAGCCGATGGATAGAAAACTCCTTAAACGCCACTGGGAACAAAAAGCCGGAAGCCACTAGACTTCCACAAAGGAAGCCCCTCATTTCCCTGCACTCGAGCCAGTGTTCTGTTTTCACCCCCGTTTGCTGCTTGGACGGTTTTTAGTCTGTTTGCTTATTTCTCCTTGTTGTGGTCATTCGGATTGTTGGTTTCTTTCTGCTCCTTAGGTTTCCAGGTAAATTTGTATGGAAACACCCAGAGAGAAAATGCACAAATTACTATTGCACAGTTCAACGGGTTTTTACATTGTAAACACCCCTCATGTGATCGGCAACAACCTAAAGAATCCGAACGTTAGCGGCACCCAAGAAGCTCAGCCGGGCCGCCATCAGCACCAC